TTAGAACAAACTTAGTTCTACACTACCTACAGATGCTTTCATATAATTGTGACCAATCATGGCTTTGTTGTTCTTTAAGAAGAAGATTTTTAAAAGATTTTTTTCCTGTAATTCCCTAAAATCAACTTTGATCGGTTATTGTGGCCCCGCCCGACCCCCGGGGGTTATGACTTGAACAGATTTGATTCTACACTACAGTACCTGAGAATGTTCCCCTAATTAGATGCCTGTTTACACTGTTTGTAAATTAATTTTTGACCTAGCGTATATTATCATTAACGTATAATAGGATTTATTTGAGGTTATTAATTAATAAGTTGTGCCCAAAATAACAAATTAATATGGTTGTTGATATCTAACCCTAGGTTTAAATACGTAACCCTAGGTGGTGAAAATTGAAAAGTGTAAAAAGTTAAAGGCTTAACTGGGGGGGGGGGGGGGGGGGGCTAAGAAATAAACCTAACCCCTCAAGGGTTGGTATCTAACCGCCGCCTAACCCCCTGTAAGAAAAAAAAGCTCAGTAAAAAGGAATAAAAAATTTCAAATTTTTGGGTATACCTAAATCTCAATATTGTTTAGGGTTTGAAAAAAATAAGTGGTCGACTTCTCTAAGGTGCTTAAAAAACCGGCGGAATTTTGTGATTTTTGGAAATGTCGTAGATAATAGCTCTCACTTGGGCTTATTTAATTCAAAATGGGAGAAAAACTCGTTTTTTGAAAATTATCCCTTACCCTAACTTTTTTCACAAAAATTTTGATTGTTACATTTTACACGTTTTGTCATTTTTTGGAACCTAACCCCGGGCATGTTTTAAGAGATACAGAAAAATGCTTTTCAGCGCCTAAAAGTATTAATAAAATGCTACAAACTGACATAATTTTATCTTATTTTTCCAAAAATTGGGTCATATAAATGAGGTTAAAAAGTGTAAAATGTAACTGAATTTTTGATATCATATAAAGAGGAAATGGTCCTGGTCTGGAGTTAGCATTAAAAATGGAGGTACTTCATAACCTTGCTTAGAGGACATTGTCATGGTTACAAACACAAATCTTATCCTTTTGTATTTGACTTTTAAGGGCTATTTATTGAGTATGGTTACAAGACGAAAGTGTAAAATGTAACTTAATCTTCTTTGAATTTCCCTCTTTGGGCCCTATTTTGTTTTTTTAATCAATTTTAACTGGATATTGTAGAAGAAATTACTTTTATTTAAGATAAATAATCAGAATATAATGCCAGAATCTCTCAGTTTTCTTTTATATGACCCCTGCTCAGATGGAAGAAGCATTTTAGGTGAAATTTTGTAAGTCCCATCAAAAATACATTTTTCTTGAATTTCTTTAAAATATAGGGAATTTAAGAAGAATTAAGCATTTATTTTCTTCCTCTAAGTTAACCGCACAAATATGAAGCAAAATATTGAAGGTTGATACGTAAACGACAAAAACAAGGCCCATGAGTCGCGACATGTCTAAATCAATTAAAGCATTCTAAATTTGTTGCGACATAATTGTTCTACTAACCGAGTGTTGCGAACAATTAAAAACATTTTATTGAATTTTGTTTATTCAATACGTTTTCTTTTCTGTTTCTACTGTATAAGGACATAAAGTTCACAAATTGATTTAAGTTACATTTTACACTTTCTAACCCCAGAGTCATATTTATATTTCCCTTTTTGGCTAATTTTTGCTTATTATTCAATTTATATTTGATATTAGAGAAAAATCAACCTTTATTTAATATGAATAACCTGAAATTAGAGGAAATATTTAACAGATTCCCTCTAAATAACCTCTGCTCAGAGGTAAGCAGGATTTAAAGTGAAATTTTCTAAGTCCATACAAAAATACATTTTAATTTCTTAAAAATACAGGGAATTTAAGTCAGATTATGCTTGTTTTTTCTTCGTCTAAGTTAACCGTGCAAATATAAAGCAAAAACTTAATGTTTATACGTAATCGACTAAAATAGGGACCAATCAGGAGTCGCAACACCTCGAAATCACTTAAGTGGCCCTTGTTTAGTCGCGACTGAATTTTTTGACTAACCAAGTGTTGCGGATAGTTAGATTCAAGGTATATTTAGTTAATTTAACACATATTCTACTTTGTTGCAACTATAATACAGTGCATTAGGTTCACTTATTATTTAAGTCATATGTAAATAAATGAAATAAAGTTTGTTTCTTCTTTGTCTAACTTAACGGTAAAGGTATTTATAAATAAAAAATATTCAAGTTCTGTATGTAATCAACAGAAATAAGGACAAATCAGGTGTCGCCACATGTCGAAATCACATAAGTGGTCCTTATTTAGTCGCAACATTATTTTTTGCCTAACTGAGTGTTGCTGATTCAAGGTATATTTATTTATTTTAACACATATTCTACTTTGTTGCAACTATAATAGTGCATAAGGTTCACTAATTATTTAATTTAATTATTTAAGTTACATTTTACACTTTCTAACCCCAGGTTTAAGAAAATTCATTTATACTGTATTCTTTTAAGAATAAATGTAAAATAAAATAAAGTTTGTTTCTTCTTTGTCTAAGTTAACCGTATAGGTATAAAAAAAATATTCAAGTTCTATACGTAATCTACAGAAATAAGGACAAATCAGGTGTTGCGACATGTCGAAATTACTTAAGTGACCCTTCTTGTTATTCTTGTGAGGTTGCGACATCATTTTTTGACTATCCAAGTATTGCGAACAATTAGAATATGATTTTTTACTTTGTTAAGTTCTCACATATTTTACCTTTTTTCAATTTAGATAGCACATAAAATTCAATAAAATTATTAAGTTACATTTTTCACTTTCTAACCCCAAGGCTATAATATATATGCCCAATTTGGCTATTTTTTTTCTTTTTAATTTATTCATCTCATGAAGCTTACGTTGTGTATAGCGTGTTCCTCTGAAGATGTTAAAATCTTACGTCATTATAGAGCATTTGCTGGCTTTGTTTATAGGATGCCATCCCCCACAGGTGTGAAATGCTTAGGTCAACACCATGAGCACGCGCTGACTTTGGATAGGGTAAGCCCATAGTTATGCAGACAGTTGAAAGACAAAGACGTGAAAAAGGTAGGCAACATACTTCACTTTTAGGCTATTAATCTATTATTTGAATTCTGAAAACCACAGAGTTAGAAAGTGTTACTTGTAACTTAAAAATTTTATGAACAGTGTTTATAATTATAATTGTGACAGCTCCTCTGTTGTTCTAATTTCTATTGATATGTTAATGTGGTCCTTCTCTTCTGTAATGTTTGCTGTATTTGTAGATATTCTTTTTGACAAAACTATACTTTTTTTTGCCAAAAAAAAAATAAAGAGAGTAAATATTTTTAATAAATTTCTTCAATATATTTGGTTAGGGTGTTTAGCTCTACTGGTCAGAGACGAGAAGAACGTATGCGATAGTAATGCATCCAGCGTCCGTCCGTCTGTTTGTCTGTCTGTCCGTCTGTCTGTAAACAATTTTTCAAAATGCAACTCCTCCTACAGTTTTGGTCTGATTCCAATATAACTTGGCACACAGGTAGACTACACTAAGATACATAATTCTGTTTATCGGTTTTTGATTTCGATGAACGGTGTTGCCGTGGTTACTAAAAATAGAAATTTCTGTGAAATTCTTTCAGAATGCTACTCCTCCTACTGTTTTGGATTGATTTCAATTTAACTTGGCACACAAGTAGACTACACTTAGGTACATAATTCTGTGTATCAGTTTTTGATTTCGATGAACGATAGGGCTGGGCAACAATATCGATATTTCAATATATTGCAATACAATGACAAACAATATCGTATCAAAATACGATTTCGTAATATCGATATATTGAAAATATGCTTAGATTAAGGAATTTTGTCATTAAATATAAAAATGGACTTATGAAAGTTTGTTATTAAGCCAAACAGTAAGTCAGAAGTGGTTTTGTTGGAACATTTCAGGGCATAACTTAAACGAAATCAACAAGATTTTTTTCCGTTTTGGAAAAATATCGCAATATATTGCAATACGAAATCTCGAGCCAATACCCAGCCCTAATGAACGATGTTGCCGTGGTTACTAAAAATAGAAATTTCTGTGAAATTCTTTCAAAATGCTACGTCTCTTACAGTTGTGGTCTGATTTCAATATAACTTGGCACACAAGTAGACTACACTAAGATACATAATTCAGCTTATCGGTTTTTGATAGGGCTGGGTATTGGCTCGAGATTTCGTATTGCGATATATTGCGATATTTTTAACTATTGCGATATGTATTGCAATATTTTCAATGTCATAAAAATGGCATTTTCTTACTATATTTACTTGAATTTACATGCAGAATGTACATAACATGATAAATAACCAAAACGGAAAAAAAATCTTGTTGACTTCGTTTAAGTTATGCTCTGAAATGTTCCAACAAAACCACTTCTGACTTACTGTTTGGCTTAATAACAAACTTTCATAAGTCCATTTTTATATTTAATGACAAAATTCCTTAATCTAAGCATATTGTCAATATATCGATATTACGAAATCGTATTGTGATACGATATTGTTTGTCATTGTATTGCAATATATTGAAATATCGATATTGTTGCCCAGCCCTAGTTTTTGACTTCGATGAATGGTGTTGCCGTGGTTTCTAAAAATAGAAATTTCTGTTAAATACTCTCAAAATGCTACTACAAATACAGTTTTAGTCTGATTATAATATAATGTGGCATGCAAGTAGACTACACTGAGAACATAGAGAGACTTAATCAGGGATCATTATTCTATTTATTGCTGTTGTAAAGTTTCAATTCCCAACTGCTTAAGTACTTTTCTCTTCCTTTGCTATAAGTACAAACCAGTAGAGCTTCAGTCTCGACAGAGACTTCTGGTTTAACTTGGTAATGAGGAAAATTTTTTAATAAATTTCTTCAATATATTTTAAGAAAAATAGAACTCTTCTGCCTAGTGATGGAACGATTGTCGCCGACGATCGATTGTCGGTCGTTCAGAGCTCTTCGATGCTACTAATCGATTACAAAAAAAAAGTCGCCGACGTCGCTATGTAAATATTCCGGATATATGACGGTATTTTGTGCGAGTTTTACTTTTAAAACCATATGCTGAATTTTGTGTATGCCAAACCCGATGAAAACAAATTCAAACAAGATGGCGACGTCGAAGGATTCCGACAAAAACAACAATGTTCGATCTCAGAATGATGGGGTTCGTGAGATACACCCATATCCAGGAGCCACTAAAACAAAAGTTTGGGAGTATTTTGGATTCTACAAATTGAAAGAGGGCCCTCCTACAAAAGTTATTTTAGATATGTCGCAAGCGGTTTGCAGATTATGTCTGAAAAAATATTCCAACAAAGGTAAGTTCAAAAGCTGTCGCTATTACTTAAACTGTTTAAACCATACATTTTAGGAACATTGGAAATGAATTTTAAATGATACGATTTACTGTAATTTTTGTCATTTATTTTTTAATCTCCAATCAAACCAACATAAAATATTTTCGAGTGATAATAGAGTAACAGACTAAATAATAGTTTGAAGTTTTTAACATGTTACTTTCAGGTAATACCACAAATTTTATGAATCATATAGAGAAAGATCATGGTGACAAGAGGACAAAATCAGATACTAAAACACCGATATCACAAGCTTCAATCAGTTCATTTCTCAATGTACCAACAGTGGGAAAAATATCCCCAGAAAGACAGGAACAAATTGATGATGCACTCTGTAAATTCATAGCTGGAAAGGTGATACCTGTCAGTGTTGTAGATAATCCACTATTCCGGACATTTGTTGAGTTGTTAGATTCATGGTAACTATTTTGACTTTTTAGCATCTTTACCATGTTTACACTTTACAGTATTTAATTAAAGTTAATATTAATTTACTTTAGGAAATTTCTAGTGTGAAATTTGACTCCAACTTAATTGATAAAATAAAAATTAAAAATCAAAACAAATTAAAAAAAAACCTTGTTAGTCTTTTATTAAATAAATGCTTTTTATTATTATTTTTATTACTTTAGATACAAGGTTCCTTCTAGAAGTACAACAATTAAAAGACTGGAGAAGAAGAAAAATGACATGGAAAAAAAAACTTAAAAAAGATGTGTCCACTTCATCTTTTGTATCCATAACACATGATTGTTGGACTAGTTTAAACACCCAGTCATTCTTTACTACTACAGTCCATTATATCAACCATGAATGGAATCTCAAAAGCGCTGTTCTTGGAACAATTCAACTGAAAGGTAGTCATACGGCACAGAATATCAGTGAGGAATTAAAGGCAACACACACAAAATGGAATCTTCCTCCAAATCCTATCGCAACCACTGACAATGCAGCAAACGAACAGAAAGCATTTGAATTACTAAATTGGGATAGGTTTGGATGCTATGGGCATCGCCTCAACCTTGTTGTGAAGCATTCTCTGGACATTCCTGAAGTTGGCAGACTATTGGGTAAAGGAAGGAAATTAGTGACATTTTTCCACCAGTCTAGTAGTAGTACAGATTTATTTCATGAGAAGCAGAAATTGCTTTTTGATGGCCAGACAACCAAGAACCTAATTGGACACAAACTTATTAACGACGTACCAACCAGATGGAATTCAACATTGTATATGTTACAACGCTTGGTTGAACAGTTTCCTGTCATGATGGCTTTGGCTAATGATCCAGCATTGTCAAAGCAGGCAAGCTCTACATTCAAAAATTGTGTATTTTCCTTTGAAGAACAGAGCACAGCTGAGAACATTGTGTCCTTACTGCAGCCATTTGAAAAAGCCACAACCATTGTATGTGCAGATAAGACACCCACTATGCATAAAATTTTACCAATCATTATCAAACTTTTAAAAATCATTGACCGCAAAGAAGATGATGAACCAATTATCAGAAAAATGAAAGAAAAAAAGAACACTGAGCTGAACAAAACAGCAGTTTTTGATAAAACAACATTGATGGGAAGTGTCATGAATCCATTTACTAAAGACTTGGACTTTGCCCCAGAATTGAGAGAACAAGCTTATAGATATCTGCAAGAGGAGGCACATGAGGTGTCAAAGACTGGAATTCCTCTTAAGATTAAGATGGAAAAGAATGAGGGTGAATTTGAAACACTCGCTGAACCTCCTTTGCCAGCTCTACCAATGCTACAATCAGAACCAGAAGAAATTGAGTCAGAGTCACAGACAGATGAGCCTCAGATCAAGAAGTTGAAGTCGGCAGATACTGAAGACTGGTTGGCAGACATCGTCTGCACTAGAGAAAGTCAGCCAAATCCTGAACTAGCCTTAGAAAATGAGATCCAAAGATACCTAGGGTGCAAGATTCTTGAAAAAGATCAGGGTCTGACCGTTCTTAAATGGTGGCAATCCCATGAGCAATTTTATCCAAGATTGATGAATACTGCTAAGAAATACTTGTGTGTACCAGCTTCTTCAGTGTCTTCAGAGAGGGTGTTTAGTTTGTGTGGGAACATTGTCAAAAAGAAGAGATGTAGATTAAGTACAAATAATATTGATATGCTTGTGTTCCTAAACAGAAACATTGAGTATTGGTAGTTTGTAAACTAAACACCCTCTCTGAAGACACTGAAGAAGCAGGTACAGACAAGTATTGTTTTTTATGCAGTTAGAAGAATTCTAGTCAGTGTTTTAGTGATCAATTTTTAGAGATTAAATAAATAAGGAACTGCATATATTAACTATTAAATCTAGTCACTTAATCATCTAGTCATTTCACTCATTTGCATTTTCTTGAACTTTGGTTGTGAATGGAGTATTACTAGTAGTGTTGTACATCTTTTTGTTATGATTTTTTATAGTTTAAAAAAAAATGTAATTTTTTTTGTATTCTTTATTATATTAAATAAGAGGAATACAAATTATGTTCTCATTTTTTCTTATTTTGAATGATTTTCACATTTTATTTCAGAAAATATTCATACATTAATATTTCGATTATAATCGATTATTAATCAATTATGTGTGTCCGATTATTTCCGATAATCGATTATGATTTTTTTCCGATTCCCCATCACTACTTCTGCCACTTCCACTATCTGAAATAAATAAAAAGGAATATGCATTTTAAGCTGAGTTTTTATTAAGGTTAGATGCATTTAAAGAAGACTAAAAGTAAAACGAACAAAGTAACCAATACAATGAAATATCTTCTTACTTCTTAAGATTTCTCCTCTCTGTTCTCACCCTATCCCCAGTCCTTTTCTTGTAGTCAGTAAGATGTATTTTCTGAATCCTTTCCACTATTGCCACACCCTCTGGGGATGTCAAGGCATGCACGACTTGTAATTGGTACATAGTGTAGTCTACATACGAAGAAAAGAAAAGGAATTATAATTGATATTGTCTTTTTCAATCAAAGTTTTTTTAGAGACTTTGGACAAGGAAATTGTAGTAAATCAAACAGAAAAAAATGCTTCCTACAGTCAATTACACTTTTGCACAGTCCCTTAATGACATCTCCCTCCTTTGGGGTGAAGAGCCTTCTTCCATGTTCAACATCTCTTTCTTCTTCATCCTAGTGTAAATAGAATTATTTTTAAAAATATTTAATATTTACAGCAATTCTACAGAGCTTATGAAAAGAAATATTTAATAATATACCAATGCAGGTAAATCAGGTTCTTCATCCACTTCTTGGATGCTGGGTCCTTGGTTGTTACTGTTTTCTATTGTCATCACTATATGAAATACGAAATGTATTTTAAACAAGCTATACAATTTCTGCAATTGTCTTGAAATCTTCAACACATAAACAAATATTGTGAAAATGAAGTCATTAAATGCAGACCTCCTCATCCACATCCCTCACAACATGTTCAATCACTGACAATTTTCACGCGTCCTCTTTCTTTTTACTGAGCATGTAGTAAGAGTCTTGCGTGGAGGGCCTGTGGTTCATCTGGTCTGCCAGTAGATCTCGAGCTCCGGGATATCTGGATCTCATCTATAAAAGACATTATCTTTCTATTTATATATCTATTTATTGTCCCCCGCTTGAAAAGTGGGGGATATTAATTTCGGTCTGTCCGTCCGCCCGTCTGTCCGTCTTTCTGTCTGTTGCAACGCTTTCGTTTCCACACGATATCTTGAGAACCCTTTGAGCTTTCACAATGAAATTTTGCATAGCAACTTTCTATGGACTAAAGAAGAATCCTATTGATTTTCAGGCCAAAAGGTCAAAGGTCAAGATCATGAATTCGCAAATTCTGTCTGTTTTAACACTTTCGTTTCCGCGCGATATCTCAAGAACCCTTTGAGCTTTTGCAATAAAATTTTATATAAAACTCCCTGTGGCCTAAGGAATACCCCTATTGATTATGAGATCAAAAGGTCAAAGTTCAAGGTCGTAAATTTATACATTCTATTTGTATGAAACACTATCCTTTCCGGGCGATATTTCAAGAAGATTTTGAGCTTTTGCAATGTATTTTTATACCAGAACTCCCTAAGACCTCTCTCACCCCTCACAAAGTGTGTTTTATTAGTATTTATTGTATTACGTGTCGCTATTTTTAGCACAGGGGCATTAGTAGAGTTATTACGTATAAAACAGGTTCTCGGTGGAATTTATATTCTTATTACATCTATTAGAAGTGTTTAATAAAAGTTAAATTAGACACCATGCATTGTGTAAAATTTTGACAATATCGATATACATGTATGTGACTTCATTTTTGCCTATTATATAATATTAATGTTGGACATTGTAAAGCAGATCCGTGGTCTAGTGGTATGTCTCTCGCTTCACATGTGAGAGGTCCCGGGATCGAATCCGGAACGATCAATTTTTTTTTTGGAATACTTTTTTTTTACTAAATGATAGTATTCAGCAAGTGAAATGAAAAATTTATGAGGTCTGGCTTGTACAAACACATAAAATCATCATTACAGTGTTATAATAAATATTCCATATAAAAAGAATCTTCTATACACATATATACATGTATACATTTAATAATTCTACAAATCAGTCAAGGGGATCCGACCCCCACCCCCACCCCCCCCCACCCCCCGAACTGCGCATGGTTTACTTTTTCCCTAAGCGGGGGACACGAATTCTCTGAATTAGTTTCTCTTTGGTTTTATATCTATTTTTCTATCTAGCTATTAATTGATGCTCCTAAATCTTGTTACCGATGTTGCTGTGGCCTTTCTCATTCTTGTTGTTTAATCTGCTTGGATTGCTTGGCCGCTTTCCATAGGGACTTGATTGCCTTGTCTATAGTTGATGTGTTCAGGGCAGAGGGGAAAATTTGTCTGGTAAGGGAAGGTTAAGAAAAGTGGTGATGTTTCAACCTCAAGCTGGGAACTGAAGCCTGGAGGAGTTGGCCGGATTTTGTTACAAAAGTTCATAAAGTATCTGAATATTTCCTTGGTGAAAACCATGGTCACAGGGGCCAGGTGACCTGTCTTGTGCACGGAGATTTGGATAAACATGGGAAAAGAAAACATTGTCCAGAACTTATAGGAATAAGAATCAACAATTTAACGAATTAAACATATGGAAATAAACTTACAACAGCCACATGGCACTCCTCTTTCTGTTCCGCATTGAACACATGTCTCAGCTTCATGTTAAGAATGGCCCCAACCCTCTGACCATTACTAATAAGGAGATTTAATACAAGAAAGTTCCTGGCAAGCAGGTAGTCCCCCTCCAAAACTTCCTGCCTGTCTCCCTTTTCCAAGGCCTCGAACAGAGCAACCGCCTCCTCATAGATGTCGGATTGTTCGAACGCCCTGATGTCACATGCATGGCTCAATCCTTCCCTGTGTAAGAATAATACATTTTAACTTATCTTATACATAAGTATATGAATAATAACTCTACACTTTTTGTGATTATAAGCAAAAAAAGGCACCATCATCTTCTGGACCCTCCTTCTTTGTATGTCGTCCTGGAGGGACCTGGCCCACCTCTTCAACTTCTCAATAATGTTTGCACAAATTGTGCTCTCAACCTCCCCATTGTCCCCCCAAGAGTCCAAGAAGTCCTTGAGAGATCCTAAATAATAATGATAATAAAAATTCTGGGTTAGTTGTTTAACAAAGTAGTATAAATTTTAAGTAGATTTTCTTTCCAATATAAGTATATGAAACTTTACCAATGTATGCTCTTATGGTGCCAGGGGCAAAGGTTTCTCTTGCTGGCTGGAGCCATTTGTCCCTGATTGCTGCTGTATCAGTTATTGCTTTCAGACTTCCACAGTTATCTAACGTGTTCCAAACTGTGGATACTTGGTGGCAATGCTGCTCTGCCACCTTCAGTGGTCTGTTCTTCTCAAGACTCATTTGCCATTGTTTAAATTTTCTAAGCCTTTTCTCTATAAAAATTCATATACATTTCTGTTAAAAATGTTTCAAGAAAAATATAAATTAAAGTTGCTTCTGGCACATGACTTACCCCTTCTCCTGTTCCTCCTATGTATCCTGGAGGTCTTCAGGGTTAGGGTTAGGGTCACTTTCTGGATTACTATAATATTTAGAAATTTATTAATGTATCATACTTTATCATTCTATAAAACAAGAAAAAGAACATGTAATGGCAAATACTCACCGACTTTCAAGCTTCTTGGCTTTAACCACTATCTGGTGTAGCTCTTCCCCCCCTAGCCCGCTCATGAGCATATACCAGATGGCTGTCAAGCCTCTTCACAACTGTCCCACAGCCAGGTATGGCGCACTGCTTAAGTCTAAAATATAACATAAAATACAAGAGGTATTGACATTTTGTTTTGAAACCAATGCTAAAATCCATGAATATTGATAAATGAATTATCTCAAATTGCTTACTTCTTTTTTGCTGTCTTCTGGCTTATTTTTGCCCCTTGTCTAGTATAGTTGTGGGCGGACATTAAGTGGCGTACCAGATGAACCACGTATATCCCACAATCCTGACACTCCTTCCGGGCTCTTTTTCCACTAGTGTGCTTTCTTGACACGGTTCTGGGTATCTTCTTTCTTTCTTTCTCTATTGAGGAAAAATTTTTCATTAGGTTATAATATGTTACCCATACAGAATATTCAAAGAATTTAGCATATTTACCCTTAAATTTCTCTAGAACCTTTCCTGAGGAAATTGGTTTTTGGAGGGAGGGTATCTATTTTTCCTGTAAGGTAACCATTGTTTTAAGTGACATTGAATGTAAACAAAATAAACTATTGATTTTCTTTAAAGACAATTCATATAATTTTTTGTTTATTTTAAACCTGATTTCCAGGCTTCTTGGTGATGAGGCTAGAGGAATTGGCATCCTAAGAAATTAAAAGGTAAAGTACAGGGGAAATAAAACAAGAATCATCCAATCATTATATTAAATATGAAACCATTTGGCTTAACTCTCTCTGGTCACACCTCACCAAGGGTATGGTTAGATTTTTTAACTTGGTAATTTTCGTTATATCCTCCATTATATCATCATCTTCTTCTTCCTCCTCATCCGGTTTATAGTCGGGATCATCCTCCCTTTCAATCTATTCAATGACCTCAGGGTCTTCCTCCATACACTGCTCCTCTTCATCATCATGTTCTACCTGTAACATAAAAGTAAATACTGCAAGCATTTGTTTATTTATTATTTAATATTACTAATTGTTGTTAACAAATGTTATATTTTTACCCTTTTTGTCGGTGTAATCTTTCTTTTAGGGCGGTAGTTCTTAAGGTTGGGATAACTTCCTTTTATAGGGCGCATTTTTATCCTCATCAGATTCGGATTATGGGGATTGACCTCGAAGCTGTCACTC